AAACAAGGAATCAAGAAAGTGTGGATTGAAACTGATTCTCAGGTGGCACTCACTTTGATCAAGCAGGATAAGGGATCATGGGAAGTCCAATACTTATTACAATCCATTAGAAGGTATATGGATAGCTTGGAATATAAAATCACACATGTTTGGAGAGAAGGCAATCAAGCGGCAGACTGGTTTGCTGCTAAAGGTAATAAAAAGAGGAAGTATAAATGGATGGAAGCTAGAGACTTCAAGGGAAGAATAAAAGGTATAGTTAGACTTGATAAGATTGGTTTAGAGGCTATTAGATTAGTTTCTAACTAATTTTCAGTTTGTAGATTGTAATTGTACTTTGAGTTTAGTTGCATTTTGTAATAGTTTGGTTTAGTGCATATTCATTCCCATCAACCATCAACAAAACAATAAGTAGACCTCCATTCCATGTAATCAGGGGGAGGAACGTAACATAAACTAAAGTTAAAATTTAAAAATCATATCCCAAGGCTTGGATTTTCAAGCTAGGATATTTCCTTTAAAAAAAAAGGTATGTCAATAATCATATGAACGTTATGAATGATGAATAGGGGATTTGCTACTCTTAAATAGTAAGATATTATGATCTACATTTCATTCAGTTAAGTTGAAAATGAAATCCTTGGCCAAGGCCTACTCATAAGTCGAAAAGAGTTTTTGACTTATATTGACTTAAAGTGGGATGAAAGATATTATTAATAATCGAGATTGACACATATCTATATCTCGTAATTGATTGATCACGTTGACTAATGGATTATAGTTTCACGCTAAACAAACAAGTTTGATTTTTTTATACCACGTGGAATTTTATGTCACATATACTGCCTTGATACATAGCTGATGTCAATCTGGGACGACTGATGTGAATTGGTGATAAATTAAAATGAGTATTTTAATTTATCAATTTTGATTAGATCAAAATAATAATTCATGTCGTTAGATATCATGATTAGGAATATAGTGGGTCACACTAAAAATTAGAACTAGAAGAATAAAATTCACAAATTAGTTAATTAACAAGTGTTAGACAATTAATTAATTGAGTTGCTTTTTAATAGGACCGAATTAATTAATTGGATTAATCAATTTATAGATCAATTTTAATTAATTGAAATTATTAAATATTGGATTGGATTAAGTTTCAAAGATAGACCAAGCCCACTTGAAATTTTATTGATAGACTGCTAGAGTTTGAAAAATAACATCACAACACAATTATATTCTTACTAGCACATAAAAAGAAAAATCCTACTTCTCTCAATCATGTTCCCTATGTGGATTTCCATTGGATGATGAACGATTGAATAGTTGTGGATTGTAAATTAGAACAGTTTCTATCTAAATACAAAGTAGAATCTTAGTTGGAATTGAATTCTTTTTTATTTTTCCATGTGCATGATTAAGTAAATTCTCAAGAGTGGAATCGAAGCTTACTTTGTGCTTGTTAAAAGATGTTTTGCATCTTGAATTTAACAATTTAGAAAATTATTTTTTATCTTCAAAAAATTTTTTTTTTTGAAAAGCAATAAATTTCTAGTCGAAAATCACATCAAGGTATAGAAGCAGGTGGCGCTGTCTGACGGTAGAGCCACCACACAGTTGCAGCATCGTACAATGTGATGTTGCCTTATACTGTGCAACGACGCTCGTCACCACTACTAATACTAACAATGGCGGCACACCGCCATCTAGCCTCAGGAGCATGATGTTGCATAAAAGAGAGGGATAAACTTTCTAGGGTTTTGAATCGTACGAAGACTGGAGGTGGGGGCCTCACGTGCAATTTGTGAAATTTTGGGCCCCTATCTGCAATTTACATATAGGGGTCAATTTGCAAATATTTTATATGAGGACCTACTCTGCAAGTTTTGAAATTGGAAAGGTTTGCTTATAATTTTAAATAGGTTAAAAAACAAATTTCAAAAGGTGGTTTTAAATTTAATAAATAAAGAATTTCTAAATTTGATTTTCAAAAGGGTTTGATCCAAATTTTAATTTTGACCCATTTAAAATTTTATTTAAAATTCACAAAATTTTAAATTATCA